CCAAAAGTTTTTCAAAATACTACTTAATGCAAATTATAGAAAATAAGACATGCAAATTAAAACTTGATTGCACATCATTCTAGTCACTTAAATGCGGATCAGAAAACGTAGTCACGCTTCAAATGGTCTTATCTATGGGCTGTAGGAGGCGCTTCACATTTGGATGACATTTGACAAGCTTTGACTTCACAAACTCCCAAGGGGTGCAATCTGCCAAGGCACCTGTTCACAATTATGCATACATTTTTTGTCCTCCGTGCCATATCTCAAAATAGACAATTTTTCCCGTGCCATATTTGCTCCATTCTCTTCTTGACTCATTGAAGTAACATTATGAACAAATTTGGGCTCAAAACTCTTTGTTGATTATTGTGCATTAACAAGCTTTTAAAGGTGCAGTGTGGAAGCCTCTTGAATCTTCTTGTCTTGCTTCTTGTAATTGCTCCTTTGGTACATGTAATTGGTCACAAATGGATTCGTATCAGCGGCACTAGGGGACAGCGTCGTGGCGCTGTCCTGATGGGCACGGGCAGAGTTTGTTTCCGTCCGTAGCGCCATGGCGCCGGGGACAGCGCCATGGCGCTGTAACGAGATTATAAATACGCAGCAGTTTCGTTTTAGGTTTTCTTGAGCCGTCACAATGTAGCAGCGTAGGGTTTTTGCAGCAGCTGACTTTTGGGTGTTTGGCAGTTGGCTTCTGGTGGCGGGCTCGAGTATTGGCAGCACAGATTGGGAAGATCAAGATCATCATGTTATGGGTATTGTGAGTGTTTTCATTATTGTACCTAAGTATAATGTTTATAATATTTAGAAGCTAGAGAGCTTTTGTTAGAACATCTAGAGGGGACAAATATTGGAGTGAGATATTTGAGTGCTTTGTATCCAATCTCAATTATAGTGGAACCCGCATCTAAGCGGAAGACTGGACGTAGCCCATAAACTGTTGGGGTGAACCAGTATAAATGTTGTGTCGTTTATTGCTTTTCCTATTTTTCTCTTGCGGTGTGTGATTTGCTTAGGTAACTGGATATAACTGTGGAAGGAAAAATTATTTAGAGTCATCAATTTCCCAAACAGGAAGAAGCCAAAAGAATCCAAGGACGAACACCAAGTACCCCAGAATAAAAATGAACACACACTTGAAATTCAACTCCCTCACAAACTCTACGAAGAGCAATCGAGCATTCGCCACAAAGAAACCCAAAATAATCGCCACTCTCAGCCACCTCACGACAAAACTTTAGTGGTCAGCGGGTGGCGACGGAAGCGGCTGTAGCGGGTGGTGACGGGAGTGCAGCGGGTGGTGATGGAGAGTTGAGTGAGAGAAGAAAATGGAGGAGAGAGAGGCAAAGGTTTGAGTGAGACTTGAGAGCTAGATTCAAAATGGGGAAGATGAGAAAAGAAAACCCTAACCTAGAATGAGTGGCTAGGATTAAAACTTAATGAATGGCTGAGATTGAAGATAAAAAAAACATTATTATATATTTAAGTTTAAACAAACATAAATATAAAGGCACTATTTGGGTCGGGTAGGGTTGACCCAAATTTTCGAGGGTCGAACTCGAGACCTGACCCAACCCCATCGGGTTGGGAATTTCTTAACCCAACCCAAATCGAGGATTAATTGAACCTAACCATGGGTTGGGTTGGGTTCATCGGGTTGACGGGTTTTTTTAACACCCCTAATTTTTATAGTGGTTCAATTCTCTACTCCACTCTCCAAGACTCATTCTTTGGTATTTTACTGCGTTGGATCTCTTAAGGGGAAAATCAAATTTATGGGTCAAGAGTAAACTCCCTACTGCTTCTTTTGCAGGTTCAAGATCCAACTTACACTGATCTTTTTCACTAGATGAAGATCAAACCACTCCAACTATTTTCACTAATTCAAAATCAAACCACTCACACAATCCTAAGGTACACCCACACTGTAATACAAAATCCCAAATTATATGTTTCGTGAAGGTAAAACTAGACTTGCCCTATGGAGAATAAAGAAATATTGAAATGTAATATTTTTCCCAAAAAGCTCGGAGAGAAGTGGTGACCAACTTTGAAACTCAACCATGAGGTGAACTTATAAACTTGGTAAACTTCATTTAGTTGAAGGCACTGCCATGCTCCGACATTGTGCACCCAATAAGCCAACCTGTAATGTGTTGGATCGGTATGACAACCCTAGGGTGGTGAATAAAGTTTAATGAAACTTTTTAAACTTTTTACTACGGTTGGCCCAAATTAAACAATTATGTAAACTTTTTATAAACAACAAATTAGAAATACAAACACCTTAATTAATTTCACCATCCAAATAATTCAAATATAAATATTGACCATTAAACATGATTAACAAATTCGAACAATTAATTTCATGCAATTTGTAATAAAGAAAATTAATTGCAAAAATTAAATGGAGTAGGGTTAGAGAAAATGACACCGGAAATTTTATAGTGGTTCGGCAACAACCGACTTACTCTACTCCCCAAGCGCCTCTTGGGTATTCGATTAAGAAACTTTGACTCTTTCCAAGGTAGGAGTCAAACCGGTATAAAGCCTTCTTTTTCGGGAGCAAGAAGAAACCTGATCCTTTCCACGGTTCAGGATCAAACCGTTACAACACTCTTTTTCGGGCTCAAGAGCAACCCTTACAAAGGATATGGAAATCTAAGAACAATCTCACAAACTCTCTAAAAAGAGTGGATACACAAATTTTCTCTCACAATTTTGTAAGAAAAATTCTTACAAAATAAAGCCCACAAATGGCTTAGAGAAAATAAAATTAGAATCACAAATATCTCTCAAATAAAATCTCCCTCAATAATATAGAACAAAAATTGAAGCTTTAAGGAGAGACTAACAATATAGAAATTTTGAGACAAAGAATAGTTTAAACAGGAGGAAAAAGTTGAGAAGAAATTTGAAATCCAAATTAAATTTGGATCATTGGATTTGAAATGATTAGAGATAAAATGTTGGAATTTAATATAATAATGATAATAATAAATTTATATATATCTCTTTCCTTTCATTCCCTTTTTTCTAAATCAAACCAGTCAGATTTGACTTTTTTTTTTAATATATATATATATTATTTTTACATGTTATTCATTTCTTCTCTTCTTTTCTTTTTCTTTCCCATTTCTTTTAAGTAAATACATCTCGTGTTACTATTTCATTGGTCCGTTTGGTTAATTTAGTCACCACGTTATTCTCTCGGAAATTTATCATTTCAATTTCATTTGACTGTAACTTCTCCGTTTGAGCTCTGATTTGGGTAATCCAATAGTCGTTGGAATCGTTGTTTCGAGCTCTATGTTGTGGACACTTCAAAACACTAAACTTGTCAAATAACAAAATTAAGTTTGTTATCATCAAAACTTTAATTAATTAATTAATTTGAGATTAAGGGCCAAAAAGCCAACATAATGGACTTCCTACATCCTAACTGAATAGGCATACACCCCTGTCGAATCTCAACTTATAAATAGAGGCATTATTCTTACTCCAAGTACACAATCTAAGCTCGGCTTGAGACCTAAGGTCAAACTCTTAAGAGCATTAGAGTGTTTGCTTCTCATGTGGAGTACTTCCTCACCAAGTTCGCTCCTAAAGCCCGGTCATACCCGATCTTATCGGTTCTCAAGTAGATCARAAATCACCATAAACAGTATAAAATAAGCAATACAAAGAAAACACCTCACTAAGGTGGATTTACACAAATTTTGTACTAAATCAATAGTTAAAAAGTCACTCTAATGTATCTCTAAAAAAAACAGGATGGACAACATTTTTTGCAGGAGAGAATGAAATTTTTGAGAGCATAACATAGAAAATGAGAAATCTTATTTTTGCTTCATAATTTGTGTGGAGGGAAGATGAATTAGGTGGGTTTAAAGATAAAATTTGACCATTGATTTAGGGTAAAAAACAGAGAGAAAAAAAAAAGAATGTGTGAGATTAAAAGTAGAGATGAGGAAAAGACTAAAGTGCAACCAAAGGTCAAAATTTGCAGCTGAGAAAATTATCAAGATATTCTTCCTATCAAAGTCAATCTTTTTAAGAATGGCATTATGACTCAACTTGTGTTTTTTGCAGGAAGAAAGAGGATACCTCGCAACATCTTTTTTTAACTTGCAAGTTAATACAAGAGTGCTGGTATAAATTCATCCCTACTTATGCAAACAAAAATAAATAAATAAATAAATTGTTATATTGACCGAACCTCGTGGACAATCCAAGATCATTCGACGGGATTCTTGACAGAGGATGAGAAAGAAAAGTAGGTGATTATTGCTTGGCAAATTTTGGAAACGATAGATAAAGTTGTTTTTTAGAGGTGTAGGCATAGATATCACATGCTTAATGAAGAAAAAGTAACTTCATCATCCATTCAAAGACATTGAGTTGCACCAATTCGAACCTTCAACAAATTTTGGAAACTGAACAGCTAGCAGTGCAGCTTAGAACAAGGAGGGAAATGGTTGGTGAACGCTTGGAAGTTATTTCCTAACTGGCATCACACTATAGTTAATTTTGAAATTGAGTTGGTTTGGTTTGCATTTTATCTTCCTCGAAAAAGAAAAAAAAAAAAAGGAAAAGGGTTAAAAAAGAGAAAATTAAGGAGGCTTTAGAGAATTTTGTGGAGATTAAGAGAGATCCGTGGAAATTAAAGGAAATTGAGAAAATTGAGTGAAAATTCAGAAATTATTAAATTGTATTTATTTGAATGTGTCACATGTCACTACATGATTTGTCCACGTCAGCAAAATCGTTGATGTCACGTTATTGCCACATTACTACCACATCAGCATCTCAACATTATAAACAGTTTGAAACACTAAAATCATAAGTAAAAAAAACTTGTTATCATCAAAACATATTTTAGTTGTAATTGACACTGTCTCTGATCAAAAGATCATRAGTTCAATCATTTCATCTCATTTGTTATACTAAGAAAAGTATTTTGCACGGTTAGGATGCTGAAAATACAATACACAAGGGATAGAAAATTTGATCTTACTCTTGTTCATATGTTTCAAAATGCATGAGAGTGAGCAGTCAGGGCTACAAATAGTCTCAATAAAATTTACAAATGCATTAAGGATTTTGATACAGACACAGCTTAAACTGGAACAAAACGCTTCATTCAAATGGCATTCGTTTAAAGAGTTGGAACTCTTTCGACATTCCCTGAGATGACAGTGAGCAAATTGTTTCCGAAGGGATCACTCAAATGCTTGGCCAAGTTCTCCACAGGGCCTTCGCCCGTCACGTAAGCCTGGAAGTAAAACCCGAGCATTGCAAACATCGCCAGCCTTCCATTCTTTATCTCCTTCACCTTCAAGATCGCTGCCTGGTCGGGGTCATCCGCCAGCCCCAATGGGTCGAACGGCCCACCCGGGTGAAGCTTATCTTCAAAATTCTGCAACAAAATGTCTATTTTAGCATCTAAATAGTAACAATGGATAAGCCATATAGGTTGATGGAATCAGTATTAGGCGGATAGATATTAGGATGCAGAATAATAACCATGGCGATAATGATTCTATTTCAAATTACAGGACTAAAATATGTTAGAGACCAACCTAACAAAGAATAAACTTAAAACGTCAACGACCAAAATGAGATTTAAACCTTTTCATAATATACATACCAAGCCGTTGATGATTCTGTAATATTCTGCGCCACCGACGAGGACGACCTCGGCAATCACGGCAACGATCAGGTTGATGGGAATGTTGTTTCCAAAGTAGTTCAATGTGTTTCCATCCAAAAGCAAAGCTCCAGTCTGTGTAATTCATAACATATTAGATTTAGATCATTCTCTATCAAAATTGCTAGCACGGTTTGATAACCAATTTATTTTTTGCTTTCAGTTTTAGAAAATTAAGCATGCTTCCACCAATATATTCCTTTGTCTCGTTATCAACCAGTTAAAATTTTTTCAAAATCTAAGCCAAATTTTGAAGAAAAAAAAAAGTAGTTTCCAAATTTTTGTTTAAGAATTCAAATGTACTTTTTTAAACAGAAACTAAAAACAAAATTATTATCAAAGGGAATATGAATAACACGGTAGAGAATGAAACCTTGAACCAAACGGCCTCGGGGCCACAGTTGGCTCCGAATTTGTTGAAGGCCTCAGGGATGATGAAACCAGCAGCTCCAAGCATGGCCCATCTTGCGTGGATCAATTCAAATGCCTGATATCTGCAAACAAAAACCGCTTGTTAATTCAATCACTAAGCTTAATCACTTATTAATTGAAGAGATGAGATTTTTACTTGCTGAAGTCTTCTGGTTTCTTGCTGAGTCCAAAGGGATCGTAGCCGTAGCTGTAACCAAAAACAAAATAATGTGTTTTAATAGATCTATCACTTGTTAGATATTAAGGGTGTGTTTGGATCCACGGTAGAATGAGTTATTATGAAAAAATAGATTTAAGTATAATTTATTTTTCAAAATCATGATCAATTTTTAATTTTTCAAATATGATTAATAGAAATGGAGCAATCCTGACAATGGCGAATGTGATTTTGGCACCAAACTCAATAGTCTAAAAGTGAAAATTTAAAGATCTATTAGACAAAAAAAAAATTGAAACTTTAGAATTATTAGATATGATTTTGAGAGTTGATAAGCTAATTAAATGTATAAATTAACCAAATGAATAAGAGGATTTATTTTTCCAAGTCTAGATTGAAATTAATTCAAACTAATAATAGGGACTAGTTTAGTTTGTTTAATAACAAATTTATTTTTCATTTTCTATTTCTTAAAGTTAAACTTGCAAATGCTATTATAACTCATTTGTTTCTTAGTTTTGCATCTAGCTACTTTTTCAAAACTACTCTTAAGAATTAAAATAAATTAAAAAATGAAGTTTTTGTTTTTAGAATTTGGCTAAGATTTTAGATGTATGTTTAAGAAACATGAATACAAACCAAAGAAGTAGTGACTAAACATGCATAAAAGTAATTAATGAAGACTAAATATGGATACTTAAAAAAAAAAAGTTTGAATTAATCTAATTTGTAGAAAGAGAAGAGAAAAGCCATACTCTCCGGGGACTTCTCCGTTCAAGTACTCAGGGATCTCAGATCGGTCCAACAGCCCATCCGGCAAGAAAATCCTTCTGTCAGGACCTGAAATACACCCATAATCACAAATTATATTTCATTTTTATTACAACACAATTTGAATTTGAATTTGAATGACGTGGTTCAACTTACCGTACCACTTGGCGAGCTCGTCGTTGACCGGAGAGACAGCGGCGGAAGGCTTTGCCTTGGCGGCCGGTTTCTTCCCGAAAAGCGCGACAGTCTTGACGGTGACAGAGCTAGAAGCAGAAGGCGCCGACCTGGGGGAGCCACCGCCAAAGCTGAGGGGATTTCTGAGCATCTCGGAGACGCCGAGGGAGGCGGCCGCGGTGGAGGCTGCTAAGGAAGCCATCGCCGGAGGAAACTGAAGGCTGTGTGAGGGAATGGGAATGGGATTAGATGTGGAGAATGCTGATGCTATATGCTTGATCTGGTGGATGTGGACGTGCCACGTGGCACTCTGGTTCCTGAGCTTTGATTGGCTCTGACTGAAGCTGGCGAAATCCTATGCTGTGTTCTGATTGGTGGAGTGTGATGACGTGGCAGATGTGGCCTGTAACATGCTCTCTCCGATTGCATGATTTGGATAACGTGTGCTATCCCAACGCCACTTGGAATTTGGAAATCTAAGATTTTGTTTACTCGGCACTTCTTAATAGTGGCAACAAATATATTTAGCTCCAACTAGGTTGAAAAATCGATAATTCCTTATTTTTTTAATAGAATTTTATTTGTGTATTTCTTCCTCTTAATTGTCACTCATTTATGGATCATGTATACAAAATTAGTCTTTACCGAGAACTGAATATTTTCCTTTCAACTTTGAAAAATAATAAAATTTGGACGCTTGTTTCTGTAACTTGATTAATTTCATTCTCATTACCTAGTTCAGTATATTTTTAATAATTACTTTACAATTTTTATCATTTCTCTCGTAACTTTTATTCTCATAAAAATGTATACAATGTTGATGTAATTTTAATATAAAAGATAATTTTTCTATTGAATTTTTAATTAATTAATTTTACTTTGTTATTATTAAGTAACATTAATAAAATTGTTAAAATATTAATTTGTTATCATTCAATATTAGGACAATAATATTTTATATCAATGAGAGTTGTAGTAATAAAAAAAATAAGTTAATGTAATTCTTTATTATTATTAGTTAATATCAATAAATTTATTATTTGTTACCATTAAATAAATTGTTATAATAAAAAATACTTTCTATCATTAAAAATAGTTAATGACATAAATTAAAATTATTAAGTCTCGAAAAATTTAAAATTTATTATTATTTTAATTTAAAAAAATATTAACACAATAATTTATTTATAATTAGTTGAGAATATGAACGGTGTATACTAGTAATTATTATATATTTTATTCCCGTTCTAAAATAAACAATGAATAAATAACATTAACATTAACATTCCAAGTCATTCTTATTCCAATTTATTGTAAATAAATGTGTTCCAAGTTTAAATCATAGACTCAATTGAAACTTTTAAAATCTAGAAACCAAAATGAAACTTTTCCAAAACTATGTGACACATTTTTATTGACCCAAAAGTATAGTCTTAGTCTACATAATCTACATTGGCTAAAACCTTGACCCAAAAGTATAGTCTTAGTCTACATAATCTACATTGGCTAAAACCTACATCCTTAATCCACCGCTAAAAATACCACAATTTTGTTCAATCTTAAAGTATTCATAAAAAAAATCTAATTTTTTATAACTCATCCGCCTAAACTTAAATTTAGTGATAATTTAACATGATATCAAGACAAGAAGGTGATCTGTTTAAACTCTTGTAATGTCATTTTTCTCCTTTTTAAATATTGATAATCACTCGTCCAATCTTATACTAATTTCCACATAAAAGATTCATTAAAACGAAAGGCTAAGACAGAGTAATTGGCTTAACTGATGTCAACTCAGCTAACCAACACTATGACAAAAAAATCAAATTGTCTCCATTGCTTGGTGTGATATACAAAGTGCACATCATAATGAGGCAGAAAAAGCTCAAATGAAACAACCATCCTCTAATGGAACAGCTACTTCTGCAGTTAACTATTCCATATTTTGAGACTGCACACGATGCATTTGGGGCAACCAAATGCATCTTACCAAAGAGCTGTACTTTAAATTGGCTATATAATAACACCATAACCAACTAGCATGATTTTGATTGATTGTACTTTCTAATTATGGAACTGGACTTGTACAATGTAAAAACAGATTAGTCATCTCATCTTCTCCACTTGTCAATCTCCCTCGAAGTAGCTCGGATAAGCCTTCTTGTGTTAACGACAAGCTCGTCAACAAGTGCACCAATCTCATCCCTACTCGTAACAGGTGATGTCAGAATATTGAAGTTATTAACTACACAGTTTGCATATGAAAAAGTCGATTTAAACTATTGACAAGAGACAATTTAAGCTTATCTTAGAGATGCCACCAGTCCAATTTTCAATTATTTACAAGGAATTTATTATTCTGACCATCTTAAACGTAATGAAGAAGGTAAATTATGGGTAGTTGAACGATTTGGAGAATCAACAATTAGTTTCTTTGATTTCACTTAGACAGCCTAGGACAAGGGTAGTGTCACCTTGTCTAACCTAAACAAGAAAGAAGATGACGCTAGTAATTTGAGGGAAAAAACATGCTTTACTACGTGGTGTTACTAGTGTACCAGAGAGCTAAAAATTTAAACCGATCACCGGCACACGATGTTCAAAGCTTGACCAAGATCGTTACAATGTGAACTGTGAAAGTATCAATAAAAGATTAAATTTACCCTAACCAATTAGCTTAAACTATTGGTTAAGTAGTTTAACTTGATATCAAAGTAGGAGGTCATACATTTGAACCTTCTATTGTATTTTTCTCTCTAATTAATATTTTGATAACCGCTCGTTGAGCTTTGAAAAAATTTCAAAGCCCACAAGTGAGTAGTATTAAGGTATTGATAAAAGATTAAATGTATGATAACCCATAGTTTTGTCTTCAATGGTCATTTAAAATAAAGGATTGATAACCTCTCCCTCAACCAATTTCACATTACATGTTTGATAGACCCAGATTACTAAGGTGTATCAACGTAAACGAGTGAGAAAGAGAGAGACGGTTTGAACAAGTGCATTACGCACTCATAGGTGAGCCCTAGAGAATACTTGTTAGTTATACAGGTATAAGTAATATTGGTTAGTTACGTAAGGAGGGTATATCTAAGAGTAGAGATAGGGAGGGAGGTATTATCTGGATAATTACTGAATTGTGATTGTATTCTCTGTGAGTGTGAGTACTTGGGAGAGGCTGGGAGCTCTCTAAACTCCCTTGGCTTGTTGATAAATAAAATTGAGGCTTAGGCCTATTGACGTTTAATGTGGAGCAGGTGTTTGGTAAAAGAGAAGTTGCACAGGAAAAAGGAGATAAAAGATGGAATATTCCTATTATCAATGCTCAAAATAATAGGTGAATACTATAACTTATTCCTGACTGATTGCAGTGTTAAACAAACATATATTAACACCAACTACTAGCAGCATTTTTTTTATAAGAAACCGACCTTAACCTACAATACCATACAAAAAATGGACTGTAAAATCCGGGGCAAAACTCAAACGTAACTTCCTTGAGTTGAACAAGAAGAACATTTCTATAATATTCGGCCGAGTTTCATATGATGTTTGCCCGAGTTGTTCATATAATTAGAAACCCGGGTTTACCTTAGTTTTTCCAACTTTTGTTTTTCTAAATTATTTATTCCAGTTTTTTTTCCTCCATGTAGAATGTCTCGTCTATTTGTAAGGCATGGTGGTTAGTGGAATGAGCAACAAAATGAATATCAAGATGGAGTTTTGGAAGGTTTGAAGTGATGAAATCATAACAAATGGCGAGTTCGTATACCCGATCTATAACCTTACTAGAATTGATCCCAACCAATTCAACCTCGAGATATGACGTATCTATACCTTCCCGTCTAAAGTCCCTAACTACTTGATCTTTGACGATAGAAGCATAAAAATTTTCTTGAGTGGGTTTCAAAATCCATTTAGGTGTTACTGTACGTATCTGTCGTACCTAACGATATGCAAAGTAATGGGAGCAACAAAGGGAATGTACCATTCTATCCAAGGTTGTTAACTCGTGAATCGAAACGCAGATCGTAATTAACATTTAATGTATCATGTATCGTAAGTTTTTATTTTTAATTAATATATATATCAAATAGCAAATAAGTTCAACATCCCTTAACTATCAAATAAGTTCAACATTTCTTCATTTCTTCTAATGAATGCTAAAAACAAAATTAACTAATTTCAAAATGTGAAAAACAAAATTAGGGGCGTTTGGTACAGAATTCAGAAACAGTTCCATGTTTTCAAAAATATTGAAAACACGGGATACGGAGAAAATGCGCTTGGCGAGAAAAATTGATACAATCCGAATCTGAAGGCCAATTTTTGAAAACGTAAAAAAGTCGTTTTCCACGTTTTCAACGCCATCTAAGATTTCCAAAAATTTGTTTGTTTTTGGATGTTATATTTTTAATTTTTTTTAATAATTTTTTTTTACTTTGTTTAATAAAAGTTTATTGAATCTTATTTTATTTAAATAAATTTTGATATAATTTATTTTAATATTTAATTAAGCTCTAATTTCTATATAATTTTATTTTATTTTCGATAAAATAAAAAATATATATATTACACTCTAAGTTTTATTATATTTTTTATTATATAACCAAATAAATTTTATAATTCAAAATATGATAATATTTTTATTTATAATTTTTTAAATCCATAATTATGTGCCCTATTTTATTTTCATTGTTAAGAATATATTATCATATATTCAACATATTCTCAAATCCATATTGAATTCCATATTGAATTCTGAATTTATCACCAAACACACACTTATTAGTGAATACAACTATTCTTTTCATTGAATCCTTTATTTTCACATTCATGTTTTCGGATCACTAACCAGACGCACCCTTAACTCCCCATCAGATCTTTTTGAATACGGATTTCTCTATCAATCTTCAAATCCAGAAATTGCTCTCAAACCTATTTTATTTCCTACCTAACTTTCTTTGCATTGCTCTCAAACCTATTTTATTTTCTACCAAACTTCTCAAAGTTAGGTAAACCGCTGCAAATTGTGTTACACTAGTCCTTATTAATTCTCCCTTTAGTATACATTCTCATGAGGTTTAGAACTCAAGAGTGCCGATAAATATAAACAGTAATTTTCCTTGTTCCGGACATTGTATCATTGTGTAAGGGCATATCTCCAACATCAAATTAAATCAAATCTAGGCAATGTGCAGCACAAAGAGACCAAAATAGATGTTTGTGTTTTGACATAAGCAGATGTACTATCTGTCACTGCTTGAACTACATTATCTGCACCAATTTCTTCTATCATTGAATCCAATACTACAAACAAATTATCTACATTTTTGCAGGTTCCTGATGTATCCACACTTTTTAGAAATACAGTGCCTCAAGGACTATTGACTAAGAAATTTGTAATAGATTGATTCTTCTCATCTATCCAACCATCTAACATCATTTTTCATCCTGTTTTTTTCCGCTTCATTTTGTACTTTCCTAGCAACTCTATATTGATTGATTGTCTCCACCTCTTTCTTTAAGAAAGTACATCTAACCTCGTGATATGAAGGAGGTTTATTCCAGGATCAAATGAAACAACTGAATCTAACATAACCTTGAATAGAGGTCTTTGACTAAATTTGAATACAAAAGATCTACAAACATCTTGACAAACGTTTTCTCTATCACATTTCTTCTATATAGTGTTCAAAGTAACAGAATTATATTTTTGTATTCCTTTTCCAAAAGCACCCATCATCAACATCATCTTTTTTTGGCTACTACCAATATCAGCTTATCTCCATGAAAATCATCTCCATCTTTATTTTCTTATTTCCATTCAATAATTTCTTGAAAATATCTCATACTTCATCTGAAACTTTACTACATGGAGCAACATTTCGAGTATGCGCTAGATGATTTTCAATCCTAAAAATACCTCCAATAAGAATTTCCACGATAATTATAGCTCTGATACCAAATTGATAGAACCCCAACTACTAATGATATATTGAAATATAAAAGATAGAATAACTACAATTTCACCCCAATAATATAAAAGATACAAAATGCAAAGGTGGAGAAATGTTAATGGGAAAACACAAATATCCATTTTGGACTCCTTGTGCTGCACATTGCCTAGGCTTGATTTCATCTGATATTGGAGATATGCCCTTACACAATGATACAATGTCCAAAGCCAAGAAAATTACTATTTATATTTATCGGCACTCTTGGATAACCAACCTCATAAGAAAGCTAAAGGGAGAGAATTAAAAGGGCTGACGTAACACGATTTGCAACTACCTAAGCTTGGTAGAAAATGAAATAGGTTTTGAGAGCTGAAGATTGGCAGAGAAAGTACATATGCAAAAATATCTTATGGGGATACTGTAATGAAAATTATTCTGGGTGATTCAAGCTTTTGGTCCACAATAAAGTATTGCTTAAAATGTGTCGTTCCTATAGCAAAAGTGTTAAGATTTGTTGATAGTGATGCAAGACCTATAATGGGCTACATATATGAAGTAGTGGATACGGCAAAGGAACAAATTGAGAAAAATTTCAACAATGGAACATAAATTGATAAGAGGTGGGCAATGCAACTCCATAGGCGTCTTCATGCAGCAGCATATTATCTTAACCCAAGGTAAATTTTCATTCTTAATTTCTATTATTAGTATCATATTTATGGTTTTTACATGGATACTAATTAAATTTTAAAAACTAAATCCTACATTTCATTATGCTCTTGAATTTAATGCTGACTATGAGGTCAAGATGAGACTTTATCAAACTATCCGGAGGATTTAATGTTGACTATGAGGTCAAGATGATAGGTCAAGAAGAGACTTTATCAAACTATCCGGAGGATGTGCCCTCAGTAGTCAGAAAAAAGTTGATAAGCTACTAGACATATTCCATAGTGCAGAGAGCATGTTTGGAATTGATATGACAATTCAGATGCGCTACAAAAGTAGCAGCTAGGTAGAGAAACTAAAAGTATACCTAGTTTCCTATATTCAATAATGAAATAAATATATTTTGTTATTGAAATTTATGTTTTTTTTATTCAAGCTATGTGGTGGGAATTTTTTGGAAGAAAAACTCCAAAATCTTGCTATTATAATCCTTAGCTTCACTTGTAGTGCTACAAGGTGTGAGAGAAATTGGAGATCAACATTTGATCAAGAATGTTATCTAGGATGCCTCATTCTCAATTAGAAGACTGAAGACTGGGAGAAGGATTAGAAAAATGATTTCACATAATTATGTTAAACTTTACAATATTGACCTTGACAATTTTTTAGGTACACACAAAGAGAAGGAACGGTTTGGAACAGCAAAGACTAAGTGCACTTGTTTTTGTAAAATATAATCTTTATTAGAAGCAAGACATGAAAAAAGAATTTTAGAAGGTGAATCATATAATTCTATTTGTCTATGCGATTTAGAGTCAGGTGATGAATGGATTACAAAGAGAGAAGATCATGAATGTAAAGGAATGTTTTGACATTCAAGAAGCAAAAATTAGCAAAAAGCAGAAGAGGGGTAATGATTTTACTATTTTTATTAAACTAAATATTTAATTTTACACATAAGTAACATTAGTTATTTATTTTTATTCATGACCTACAGATCCTTCTTAAAATAAAAGTGATAAAGGGAAGGAAGTAATTGAATTAGTAGAAGAAGAAAGCCACAGAGAAGAAGCACTTGAAAGTGATGACTTTTTTTATGATAATGATTTCAAGAATATTGAAGTTGATAGTCGAAGAACAGAAGCTATTTTGTTGTTTTTAATGTCTATTGATACTTATTTTGGAGTCTTAATTTTGTTTTTCATATTTTCGAGTTAAGTTAATTTTGTTTCACATTTTAAAATTAGTTAATTTTGTTTTTAACATTAACTAGAAGGAATGTTGAACTTTTTTTTTTCGAAATAAGAATGTTGAAATTTATTTGATATATAAGGAATGTGCAAATATATATATAATATTCAATATAAATATTAATTAAAAATAAAAACTTACGATACACGATACATTATATTTTAATTACAATTCACAATTCTTAGCTAGCTAAAGGGGCCAATGGCAAGGTGCTCCCAGTTTTGACCGAGCTTAGGAAAGTGGGTCGGCATTCTTTCCCTTTATCGGTCGGAACCATTACATATTTTTTCCATGCTAACCATTTTCTTTATTTTGTCCTAGTATAGTAGCATCGCAATCGTTCTTCGACAGCCATAACATTTTATAAATTTATCTCGATTCTTCCTAAGTTAGATCGGTTTGGGCCAATACTCGTGACCGAGGACCGCCTACTTGCACGTGGACTCTATTCCTCACTTCACTCAAGATGAGATCTTCATCTCGTCCCAAGGCCCTTAAAAAAAAATTGATGCTCAAGTTTTACCTGTTCCTAGAAGAAAGTGTGTATATATATAATGTTTTTGCATGGCCCAATTTAAACCTAATTACCCAAGAGTAGGAGTGTTCAAATAACCGGTGACTCAAACAACTCGGACAACCCGACCCAAACCATAAGGGTTGAGTTGGTTTTTCGTAGAACCAAAAATTCAGTTCGATTCTCGGTTTAGACAAAAAATTGGTCGGTTCAACCCGACTCGAACCGAACCCAATACAAAATTAAATATAATATATATACATATATACATATATACATAAAACCTAGAGTTTCTAATCA